AAAGGTTTGCGATCAACAACAGTGAAGATGATGAAAAATGACTGGAACACAAAGGATTGACAACAGAGAATGGAGCACTTTTAATGAGACATATGGAAAAATATTGTGGAGAAAAGCAAGGAAAGTGGAATGTGGAAATGGAAAAAGGCAGTGATGTGCAAGCTGTTCAATTTGTAAAATTACGTGCCTTATATGTTGTTAAGATTGCTACACATGAAATCAACAACCACAAGGATAGAGTTATCAAAGAGGCAATCGAATTTGGAAAATTTGATCATGCGACTAGAAAAAAGATGTTAGAGGAAGGTATCCAAAGGATGGATGAATTGGAAATGGGTAATAGAATTTGATAGAAGTTTGGAATTTTATAAATGTAGTTATGGTGACTTAACAACAATTCCTTTTCTAATATCTGTATTATTTTGAACAAATTAGACAAAAAAAATGATGCCTAGTATTATGTAAGAAACTTGATATGGTTTATTAGGTGATTAATGCTTAATGTATAGTAGGTATTATGATCACTTCTTAATGATATGGTTTATTAGGTGATTAATGCTTAATGTATAGTAGGTATTATGATCACTTCTTAATGACCATGGTAGAATATTCTAATAGAATAATGTATAATGGCATCAGTATTCTATTAGAATAATATTAGATGTTGCATATACCTATATAACATTCTTACATGCATAATCTTGTATTATAATATTTTGATAACAAAGCATTATACTGCAATCATTCGTATATACTTCAAAAAATTAAAGATTGAAAATATTAGAAGAATCAATATGTTCTCAAATGTATAACACATCATCACAACCCAAATGTCTCATACATCATCACAAACCAAAACAGTAGAAAAAAATCCAAACTAAAAAATTCAAACTTTTATCTATATGGTATTATTGAACTTTATTGAAATACAAAAAAAATCGAAATATATTTCTAGACACAACTATGCACTTTGTACCTTGGAGTTATTCAACAATGTCAAACATTTCCTTGAATTATGCCCTTTAACCCCACATGTTTTTCATGATCTTGATTGCTTGTTACCTTGAATAGTAGCCTTCTCCAAAGCACTTTTTAAACGTTTTCCTGTACCAGAACCTTTATTCTTCACCATAGGTGGATTTTCAACATCAACAACTTCAGGATTCGTAGTAGCTCCGTAAAGTTTATCAATATGATCTTCTTTTGTAACCGGTAATTTGTCTGAACCTTGTTCACCAATATCAGTCATAAAAACTTCAAGCTTCTGCATGAACTCTTCTAACTTCTTTTCATCATTACTTAATCAAGACAGGCATTGATCAAGCATGGAAAAAGCTTTGTATGCAACCTTCTCAACATTTCCAGACGAATCACTATATCTAAACGTCCTTTTCAAAACTGTGGTGGGGATAATATCTCTTCTCCATCTCTTAAGAATGTATCTTGACGGAATCTCTTGTATGTCATAAATCTTTAGAATACAGAAGATGTGTCTACAAAAAATTCCAAACCGCTCAAAAAGCATGCATGAACATTTCACCGTTAGATCTTCTCTGTTGAATTCAACCTGTTTCAAAAAGTATTAGCATAATAAGCATATTCAAAAAAGAAAAATTAGAATATTTTTTCAAAATTATTAGAATATTAAGTATATTCTAAAATGTCAACATTACCTCAAAATCACATTCACTTGTGTTAAAATTCCATTCAGAATCGATGTCAACTTTTTTTTTCTCAACTAATACCTTCTTCTTTGATATATTTGTCCTTTTCTGTTTGACAATGCATATGTCAGAAACAACGCCTGATGTAACACTCTTCTGTGAACAAGAAACAAGTGAATGAAGAATCTCCCTCTGCACCATTAGAAAAATAGTCCTGGTGTATACCATAGATGCATGTTTCTCCATATCTTCAAGAGGTGTTTTGATGATTGGAACTATAGTAGATGTATCAAAATCAAATTTGATCTGATTATTCCTTTGCCTTTCCATAACAGACTCAAAAGCATTCATAAAATTGTTTAACGTATAACCATGATGCGATACCCTATTGAATGCTGAATTCTCACTTTCTGACCGAGAAGTTGTTCTCATTAGACCTGACATCGGTACATCTTTAAAATAGGCTGGAATCCAACTGCTTCTCAAATCAAACATATCTTTCATCCATTTATTGTCTTGCAACTTATATTTTACCATTAATGCATCCTATCTCATTTCAAACTCATTGACATCAATTTTGGAGTCCCATACTATACTATTGAAGTCCGCCTTAAAATCTGATTCATTCATTGTTTCCCAACTTACCTTCAAAAACAATTCATATATTATTCTGTTAGAATATAATATAGTATAAAAAGGCATTTCATTTAATCTATTATCCTAATTACAAAAAATATTTCATTTAATATTCTGATAAGAATATAACAATAATGTTAGTACCTTCAATGGAAGTTTACTTGTGATATGCCACATACAAAATCTATGTTTTGTGTATGGAAATACTATCTCAATAGCTTTTTTCATTGCTGGATCTTGATCGGTCACGACCATGATTGGTGCTTTTCCAAAACACTTCAAGAATGACCGAAGTAACCAAATATAGGAATTTGTATCTTCTCTACACAACAAACCAGCTCCAAAAGTGACGCACCTTTTGTGATTATCAATGCCAGTAAAAGGTACAAATACCATACAATACCTAAAAAAACACAAAAAAATACCATTAGAATATATAACTAAAAACGTTTATATTTCTAGAATAAATACTTGTTTGTACGATATGTTGCGTCAAACGAAACAACGTCCCCAAATAACTCAAAGTTTTGTTTTGAAGTGTCATCAGCCCAAAATAGAGCATTTAACCGCTTCTTGTCACATCTGTATTCGTATGTAAAATTTGTAACATTCTCTTTACGATTCTGAAGCTTTGTAATCAACAAATTTGCATCAGTGCCCCCGATGTGACAATTTATATCCCTTTTAAAAATTTTCCAATCTATCTCTATTCCATCAACAAATTCACATCCTCCTTTTATAACGCACATTAGTCTATATGCTGTAGTTGCCCCCACCTTTGCACTATAAAAGCTTGATCAACAACATTCAACTGACGTTTAGCTCTTGAAAGATGCATACAATCTTGATTGATCAATTTGTGGTTGTGTTGTTGTTCAAAGCGCCACAGGTAAACTTCTGAAGAATGTGGTATAGCTTTGAATGCAACAAAAGCTTTGCAATTTGTGCGTTTACAATTACTATTTCTCAATTGCTTATTATGATCATCACTAATTGTGTCTAAGGTAGAAGTGTTTGGCAATCCCCCTCTATTGCATATAAAATATTTCGAAGTTGTGATTCCACTCTTTTTCCTCTCTGTTGATTTTCTAATATCAAAACCAGATCTTAATGCATATCCTTTATACCACTTAATAGCATCTTTGATATCTTTAAAAATTGAACCCAAAGTAGGTATCCAACCAGGTTCAACCTCTGGAATCCAAAATAAAGAACCATCAGCTCCAATGAATTGTTTGCAAGAGCCATATTGTGCTGCAACATTGTCACTTTGAACTATAAAAAAGAATATCCTACCATGTTAACATATAATCATAATAATTTGCATTCATATGAATGTAATCATAAAAAACCACAATCTTATATGTGCATTATTCTATAAGCATAATATGCAGTAACATGAACTTATCACCATCATTCTATAAAGAATAACCGATATCAGTAACAGAATTACCTTGGATTTCCAATTGATTTCCATCATTATCCAGAATCTCTGAATCACCATATCTGAATTGATGATTTTCTTCATCGTAATGATCATTTCCGATGTCATTCATATCTAAATCATACATAATTGTTACTACATTAAAAATTGAATATGTTATATGCAAATAACAATGAAAACAATGATTACCTTGGGTTTCCGATTGATTTTCCTCGTTATGAAGAAACTCTGAATCAGTATAACCGAACTGATGATTTTCTTCATCAAGATGATTGTTTTCGATGTCATGCATATCCAAATCATCCATAACTGTTATCATTATTGATATATCAATGTATGTAAAATATTCTATAAGAATAACATGCAGTCTCATGAACTTATCACTAAGATGATGTTAATGAAAAGCAAATAGATGTTAATCAAAAGAAAACAGATGACATATTACTGAAAAACATAATGATTAAATGAAAAGTTAAAAAACAAACAATGAAATAGGTGATGCATTGACAAACAACATATTATAGATTAAATTGTTTTCTAGCTCAAACAAATTCAACAACAAATGATCTTTGATTGCTGAATTGGATGTCTCAACAAAAGATGATGTTTGATTTCTGAAATCACAAATCATACAAATATAAAATTGGAGAAATCGATAATAGTTGATGATTCAATTCATGAACTAGGTTAAAAATTGAATACGTTATATGCAACTAACAGTGAAATCGATGAAAACTCAAACCTTGATCAATTGACGATTTCATGACGTTGAGTAAAATTCACGGCTTGAAAGATCGTAAACAATTGTTGAAGATGAGGATTAGAAGAAATCGTTGAACACTTGAACCTCTACCGAAATCGATGATCACAAAGTTAAAATTGATCAAAATCACTCAGCTTATCGTGAATTGCAGATGAAGAAGAATCAAGAACATGAACTCGAATAACACAAAAATCGTGAATTTAAAAGCTCTGATTTAGCATCGTTCGATCAATGTCAAAAATCAAAATCGATTATCGGTTGAAAGAATATAAGATTGGAGATAGAATATCGATCAATTTGAATTGAAGAACAATGAATGTTGTTTCATCGTATAAATTAGTAGAAACACATGAACAGGTGATGAACAGGTGAGATGATTTCTGGATGACGTGAAAATTAAACTAACAATTTAACCTATTGACTAATCTACCCCTAATTAACTAATCAGCTAAATTAATTAATGTTAATCCTTTTTTTATGAGCCACAAGATCAAATCTAATCAGAGGCTAATATTTGGTCCCCATGTCTCACAAAATATAGGTGGTCTCATTTGAACCTCTATATATATATATATATATATATATATATATATATATATATATATATATATATATATATATATATATATATATATATATATATATATATATATATATATATATATATATATATATATATATAGATTCAAGTTCATTTGAGACCATTCTAATTTTATGAGACCGTAAGACCAAATTTAAAAATAATTTTAAAATTCAAAATAAATGGAAAAATCCAAAATTTCTTTTTTTAAATATTATTTTCGGAACTTGAATTAACTAAAAAAAATATAAAAAAAATTTTGTTTTTTTTTTTTGAAAAATAAGTGAAATATTCTAAATAGAATATTACACTGACATATTCTAAAAAATAATTTTAAAATGCAGAATAAATGGAAAAATCTAAAAATTCTTTTTTTAAATATTATTTTCGGAAGTTGAATTAACTAAAAAAAATAAAAATAAATTCTATTTTTTTTTAAAATACATGAAATATTCTAATAAAATATTACACTGATATATTCTAAAAAATTATTTTAAAATACAAAATAAATGGAAAAATTCAAAAATTCTTTTTTTAAATGTTATTTTCAGAACTTGAATTAACTAAAAAAAATTAAAAAAAAATAAAAAAATACGTCTCACGGTCTCACAAAATTAGACCGTCTCACATGAACCTAACCATATATATATATATATATATATATATATATATATATATATATATATATATATATATATATATATATATATATATATATATATTTCAGTCAAGTAGAATATAAAAAAAAGTTCATACCTTTTATTCCAACAAACAGTTTTTTATTGTACTAGACAGATAAAAGTATGAACTCAAATATTTCAATGTAAAAACATTTATCAAGTAATGTCTTTTAGATTCATACTTTTCTGATTACAAATAGCATATCAAAGTATATAAAAAGTATGAAATAAACAAATTAAAGGAAATTGAAATCATATGATAAATATCAAATACCAATTTATGAAGGGTAATGGTAATTCAAAATAAAACAACATTTAGACTCAAAAGGTAATTACATATATTAAATTTTTTAATTTTTTTTTTTAAAAACATTTTGTGAACAATTAACAAGTTATTGTAAAAAAGTAAATGTAGAACACAATACTAGCATCCATTACTAAAAGTAAATACAATACAATATTAGAAACAACATTTAGTTTTTCACACCGAGATAATTACATCAATAGATATCATAACAAAAAACGGAAACCGATAAGAAAAATGGAAGGAATCGAAATAAAACAACACAAACATGTTTGCATAGTGTTTAGACCAACAAAAACCAGAAGTCGAAGACGGTTTGTATTCACTTCCTGAAATTTTTATTCCATGTTTGCTTTTGTGATTTTGCTTCCCAACTTCTCACCTCATACTAGAGCCCGATTGTTGCTTCTAGTTTTTGAGATTTAAGAAGTAACAAAAAAATAAGAAAGAAGTTCGAAGGAAGAATTCAAACTTTTTGATTTGCTTATGATTTTCGAGATAGAGGTGATTGGGACCAAATTGATTTCTTCTTACTTTGAATAAATAATGAGATCGTTGGTGCCAAGGATCGTAAACGATTCACTACCCAATAGCCATAATTACTTTTTTCTCCATGTGTAAATCGTAATCAGCGACAAGGAAGGAAACAAATCGTGTTTTCCCCAAAATTTTGGATTTCCCGCACTACTACTCTCTTACGCGGCACCATATTGGAAGTTGATAACACAAAACCTAATCTCATTTTTTTTAAAATAAAAATCAAGTCTAATACTTTAACCAAAAATTTTGGGCCGTTTATCTTAGTGGGCCTTGTTCATGGCACCTTTTGAACACCCCAAGGGCCAGCCCTGGAAACAAACAAACGATAAAACCTAGAGCATCAAATAGTTAAAAGTAAAAGCTCAAATGTGGACATATTTACATCAAAACACATATATACACCTATACAATCTATAGAAATAAGAACATGAAGAACAAAACTTTAAAATTTTATTTCCAGGAGGCATTAAATATAAAAACAACACATGGAAAAGCCAAAGATGATCAAATATTGAGGTCAACAGAAACACAACATTGTTAAAAAGGATGAGTCCTTGAGAAATATTGCATAATCGTGATTATCAACCACACATTTCACACGATTTGGATCAAACTAATGTTCTAGTTTTAAAGATGTGACTGTTGAGTTGAAAACTGCATTAGGGGTGGTCTCGAAACAACTCAAAAATCAATACATTCTATGAATTATAAATAAAGAAATTTCATGAGAAAGTGATATGATATGATACATGAAGGGCTTTGAAAATTCCATCAATAAGTTCAGGTATAGTGAGTGGTTTATCTCCTTTAATGTTGACAACAATGTCATATTTTTTTGTCGAGCTTTCAAAGTACTTCACTACACCTCTCGATGCCTTTAACTGATACAAATAAATTTGGGTTAATTAGTTAATTAACATTTTGAGTTTATTAGAACTCTTGATTGACAGATGTCATAAACCATGAAAAACTCGTTAGAACCTATGGCTATGTTGTTGGATTGTTGACCTCGTCTTTGTTCTTTCGTTTTCTTGATGTCCAAAGCATATATAAGACAATCCAAAAAACAAAAAGAAGAGAAACAGTTTACCGATGTTTTGATTGGAGGAAGAAAATAAAGAGGGTGTATGAGCGCAAGTTGAGTTCTTAGTTTACTTACAATGGTGTCTTCTGTAAAGCTAGTGTAGTTGTAGGAATAACTCGTTTGAATGGACCAGTGAGATGATGGTTCATTAGCTTCATCTAATTCAATTGAAATTTGGCACCCATAAAATTCATACGAATAACTCAATTGAATGGTTTTTAAATGATCATTTAGAAATCATTTGAAAGTGATTTGAAACTTGAAACACATAGAAATCAAATTCGAAATAGAATAAAAAAATCAAAATGGGGAAAGGGATTTAAGAACCCTAAGTAGAACAAGGGTTGATTTGGTCAATCAAGATTTGAATCTCGATGTAGGTATTGTAGAAAGTTGAAGAACACACAACCTAGATTGGATAGTTTTAAGAGCAAACAAATGGGATTGAACTTGTGAGCAATAGCAATTTCCATTGTAAATTGATATGATTTTGTTTCCATGAAAGTTGGATTAAGTGGTTTTAAGAAAGAGAAGGTGCGATATAGGTCCACAGATATTCAAGAAGTTGACAAATTGTATGAGTGACAATAAAAAAATGCACAAATCTCTTCTCTTTCAGATTTCGTCAGATACATCAATGAGAGATCCAGATGAGCATGTTAGCTTGAAGAAAGGGTTTTTTCAAGGAGAGGTCCATATCAACATTATTAATCTAAGTGGAGTCCACATCATCTTTCTTAGTCTAAGTGGAGTCAACATCAACTTATTAGACTGAGATATCGTTTGAAAATTTGACATGACAAAATGACTTAATAAAACTATCATATATACTTTAGATGTCTTAAGATGGTTAAATTAACATTGGGTGACCAATTAAGAACATAAGTGATATTTGGTTGTGTTGGGTGACAACAAAAACAAGTTAAACACTTCAGACAAATATCAAAAAACAAACTTCGGTGAACTTACAAAACTTTTGAAAAACATAAATCAAAAGAACACGATACTTAATATGGTTCAGTCAATGTGACCTACATCCACAAGTGAACAAGAGAGAGAGAGAGAGAGAGAGAGAGAGAGAGAGAAAGAGAGAATTTTATTAACTTTCTGGAACTATTACAAGCACTAAAAATTGTATCTCACTTTGAGCTCTCACAAAAATCTAGCAATTTAAAATGATGAGCGTATGAGCCTATTTATACTTGAAGGATCATACCTAAAACCCTAATGGGCCAAGCCCGTTGGCCCATAGTTCTATGAATGGTGACAACCAATCATATTCCTCCATACAACATCTTCTGGAACATTCTTCCATCTTGAGCATCATAGAGGACTTCATAGCATACTTGGCTCATCAAGGACCAAGATGGTCCATCTTGATCCTGTTGCGTTATGAGCAATACATCTATCCTATGGTGTACATGCAAACCCTAATGCTTGGATCTAGTTTTTCTAGTTGTACATGCAATAATTACCCAAGGCTTCAAAACCCTAATCTAGCATACAACAAAATCAAAATCAACATAAATAAGCTAATAAGAATGTTACCTTTGATTGTTGCTTGAAGATCTTGAGCTTTTGAGAAACCTAGCACATCAAATGTGATGCCTCTAATGAATCACAAACATCAAAGCAAGTTGGATGATCTTGGAGAAAGGGGAAGGGCTCAAAGTCGGCTCTATGATCTCTAGGGTTCAAGTGGTAGCCGAAATTGTGAAGCCTAAGGACTCTTTATATAGGTGAGCTGCTAGGGTTTTAGTCAAAACCCTAATTGGATTGCTTAGGCCTTAAGCAGTCCACAGGATCCTTCCAAAAGGCCTCCTATGGACGATTTCTATGTGGGCTTCCCCATAGAATTTGTCCATCCCTTCTTTAGGGTTCCTCAGCCCATATTGCAACTATCATATAG